TATATATATATAAATTCACATTTATCTTATTGAATTATAACTTGTGTAATAATATTTTCTAGTTAAGTACAAGCTCTTACATCGAAAGATGCCATGCGACTTATAAATAGTTACTCCGAAAATCTTATAAATGAAGGAAAAAAGTACAGTGTAATTTATGTGTAAGTTGGGCGTGATCTTAAAATACTTATCTCGTTTTAGCTCTAAGTACTCTTCAATTTACCCTTTAACTGTTGTAGCCAGTATAGAACAGACTAAATCAATTTTAGATGGCAGATATGAGGCCATAATTGATAATTTACCCATGTGCCATTTTAATTTTTATTTTGTAATTATAGTGTCTGGGTTATCTTGTTCGCACCTCGACTAATCTTATAGGACCCCACCATCATAAGTACGGGTAACTCTATCTACTAAGGCTTGGACATATGTAGTTTGAAAGAAATTAAATGTAATCTGACTCAGCTTGGAATTCAAGAAAAAAAAACTTTTAAAACTTATGATCTTAAAAGTTTAAGTGGTAAAAACTTTTGTACGGTTCCAATAGAAAGTGTAAAGTTAAATCACTTTCAAATACATAAATATATTATTCTTGTTTGATAAACTAATAATGAAATGTGTCACATATATTCATATATACTACTGTTGCTTGTGCGGGGATTTAAACCTCCTGTACTTTTTTACATTATCGAATAAGTAATATTTATGTCTCGAATAAAAATGAATTAGAAAAGAGGGTCATTTTCAGCGCATTTAATATTTCATTGATTTGGTCATTAAAATTAGTGAATTAAAAACATGTAAGCCCACATATCAATTATGAGCAGTGTCCTGAGAATTGGCATATGCCATAAACTGGAAAAGACTTCTTCCTGTAAAGAAGAGAGTAGCAGTGCCGGAGTCAATCAAATAGTGAAAATGTCAATCATATATATTGGCACTTCACCAACCTCGAGAGTTAATTTAAAACCCTAACTAACTTTAAGCAGCTGGGTCCAATTCAAAATTTATATATTTCAATTTATGTGACGTAGTTTGACTCGAAATAAAAGTTAAGAAGAAAAAACTTTTTAAACTAGTGATATCCCATAATGTTTGTTTCACTATAAAAGTTTTTTATTAGGACTAAAACGAATAAAATAAAAACTATATAACTAATTTATAAAAATGTATCATTCTTTTTAAAACGGACTAATACGAAAAATGGGGTGATACGCCTCCACTACGTGCAAATCGCCTAGATCCACCCCATGTTATTAGGTAGAATACCTCAAAGTTTTCCCAACAGAGTAAACTTGTGTAATTAATTGCAAAATGGGCTAAAATAGCCAAAAGCAACAGCCTCTAACATTTTATTAGGATAATTTAAGCCAGCTCTACTTAGTTAATTCGTCAATTAAACGTTAGAAGAAAGTGTCACAGCCCAATTAAAGAGTACCCCCACCAACTAAGAATTCAAGGGCAAGTCAGTCAACCATTTAATTTACTTCTCCAATTCAATAAACTCCTACACAACTTGAAGATTGTATTGAAAACTTCAGTGTTAAAGTCTCTGCTTCATGTTTTGGCAAAGGCATCTGTTAAGATTTGTTCAATTATTTGGTTAAATTTTGAAATTTTCTGTAGACAACCCTACCAGCTAAACTATTTATCACATCCCTGAATGCACATGCAATATGAAATCGTCAGCTATTTAATGCACTACTTGATCATGACAATGGACAATGTAACGTGCAAGCATTGCAACGCATGGTGCAACCAGTGGCAAATGTAGCTCGTCGACGTTGAGTTAATCCAAATCTATATGTAAAAATCCACTAAAATTTTAACAGTGAATTCGGTTCAAAAAATTTTATAGGTCTGAACCTATCAAGTTTAAATCCTGAATTCGCCTCCGAGACGTAGACTGCCAATGTAGCAAAACTTCCTTTCAGCTCCAAGGTAATCAAATCGGTTTATATGCAGTATTTCCGAACAAAAGAGACTGCAGCATGAGAAATTTTAGGAATACCTAAGCCCTGTTTATTTCACTGAATTGCAGTTTCTGTTGCATAGATATAATGGCAACAATAATAGATTAAAGCGCGAGACAGGAGATAGCAACAATAAACAAGGATAAATAACCTTGAAGCAATATATGCGCACACAGTATGACCTTTAAGTAATATATGCACACAAAAAAAGGGCAGCTCGGTGCACAAAGCATCTAGCGTTCACGCATATAATGCACACATTTAAGTAAATGTCTCGGTTCATTTACGCCATTCTAACAGGAGATAGGCTAATCAATTTGGCCGCGGGATACTCTGCCATCCTGTACAGTGTTGAAGGTAGTGTTTGAGAGCATCACTCGGATGTTCTACAGTCCAGTGTCGGTAGAAGTCGGATGGATTGAAGATGTTACTTTTGCTGCAAGTAGACAACAAACCAGCCTGAGTTCCAGAGACAAACAAGTCATCTTCAGATTTAATGCTACCAGTGCATCCTTCCTCTTTGTCAGCTGCCTGTAGGATGAAATAAAAAGCCAATTAGGCAGTGGAAGAGACTAGTTCAACTCCATAGATCATTGTGGTAGCGATAGAAAAACTGATGGTACACAAGCAAAAGGAAATGTCAAACTTTGGTCTAACTATCATAAGTTGTCATGCGACAAAAAGCGCCTTCGACAAAGTTCTTAAAAAGGATGTGAGCTTTTTCACTTTTGTCTTCTACATGACTTTCGTTTTCATTAATAATTCTGAGAAGAGAATTCCTACTTTAGACAGAGTCCTTAAAAATGCCGTGAACTTTTTCACTTTGTTCTCCTACATGACTTTCATTTTCATTAATAATTCTGAGAAGAGTATACGCACTAGGCACCTATTCAAGGACCTAAATGGCGGCGCTCTATACATCTGGCTGATAGAGACTGGATAACCACCAAAAGCCGTGGGCCATATCTTGAGGTTTGGAGCCTCTCTCTTTTCCATTTTTCTTTTGTTTTTTGTGTGTGTGTGTGTGGAGGTTTT